TCAGCTTATCTCAGAATAGTGTATACATCATAACACGGACCTAGTTTAAGCGTGTGCAGATGGTACGCAAAGTGCCTGAATTGTGTTTTATCACCTCCTAAGCTATCAATTTATGATTACAATGCTCAAATCATGTTTTCAAAATAAAGATTACTGTTTTTCAAGGCAAGATATAACAAATTCGCTTCACGCGCCGAAGAGGCGTCGACAACGGGTGCTGACACGGATACGGCCAGATTGATAATGAAGGAGTTTTTCAATGTTGACGATAGTCAGCTTCTTCAGGACACTGTGGCGCATGTCGACGATCTGAGAAAGTGTGTCCGAATTTCGTGAATCGGATGTGTTAAATAGAAATAGAATTGCTTTAGAGTGGACAAAGCTATCCCGAAGGCATTCGATGTTCGACAAGCGTGGCCACAATGCTGGGCTGTACATCAAATATTCAATCAAGCCGGTTGCGGTTCATGCTGGGTTTGTTCTCGTAGTGTTCAGAAGCGACAGGACTGTAAAGATCAAATGCTTCAGTCTGTCGCCGCCACTTCAGTGATGTCGGATCGGGTATGCATTAGCTCAAATGGTACCGTCCAAACACAAATTAGCGCATTGGATCTTACCTCATGTTGTTTGTCTTGTGGAGGGTAAGCGCTTTCTCAATGAAATCTCAAGCCGTATCCATGATGCCAAAATTTGCAGATGTCAAGGGACACACTGGGCCTTGTCCGCGTTCACATATTGGAAGGAGCATGGTATTGTTTCAGGTAAAGAAAAGCTCATTTTCATTTTGCTGCCTCAAAACAAAGTTAATTAAACTCAAAAGCTTGATTTAGGTGGCGCATTCGGCTCACACGAAGGGTGTCGACCTTATACATTTGAGCCCAGCTGTGGAGCGCCTTGCGGGTCATCCTTGTACCGAAAGGAACGTACACCTCGATGCGAGCGACAGTGTCAAAGCCTTTTCTATAGAACTTACGACCAAGATTTAGTACAAGGTTGGCAGGGCAGAGAACTGATGTTTAGAGAAGACAATACGAAAAGACGGAAATCACAATCTGACTTCTTTCATGCGATGTCCAATTGAAATTCGTTATCCGTAAGGATTACCAGAGAAGTAGCAATTATTAGTTGACTATACCGCAACATGACAACTCTCATACTTTTGAGAAAGTTGATAGAATTGAGTTTGTGTAAATCAGTCTTGAACCAGTCAGTCTGGATTTGCAACTTCACTTTGGTGCATCCATTCCTCCCTGACAATAGGTGCGTAAAGTCACCCTTACACGCGACTGAATCATTAGGAAGGATTCTGCCAGTGTTTGTTCATACTATTTGGCTTCAGCTTGACATCTGATTAGCATTGCGCGTCTGCTAAGAGGTATTTTCCAGCTCGAAAAGCCTACTGGTTGAGAGCTGTAAATGGTTATGCGGAATATGCTCCCGTTGTGAAAGCCACATTACAAAGGCTTGTCGATGGTATGCCGAAAGTTCTTATCATTATTTTTACTCTAGGCTTAATATCCTCTTGCTTTAGGGAACATCACCAAGATTCTACAAAAAGAGTTGATGACATATGGACCAGTGCTTGCTTGTTTCACACTACGGGAAGATTTTCAGCATTATATGTCTGGTAGGTCGAACTTCAGAGGAACAACCTTTTCTGATTGTGAGCGATATTGTTACAGGTATCTACAAAACTGATGAAGTCCGATCTGAACACCTATATGGACACTGCGCAAAACTGATTGGGTGGGGGGAAGATAAAGGAATGAAATTTTGGCTCTACGCCAACACGTGGGGTCGCGACTGGGGTGAAAATGGTGAGTTTATGTGTCATCGTAGAGTTGCAAACGTATGTTCCTTTTGTCAATTTTGCAAAAACTCTTGAAAAATTTTTCATTATCGGCAGCTCCGCTACCAATAATGAAAAATTAGAGCTGACTTTGTAAGCAGAGAACCTATCCGCTATACACGGCTCATTTCTCTGATGCCCTTTTAGTACCAGAAACGTAGGATCGTCAGTTGAAATTGCTGAAAAGCTTTCTGTTTAGGATTTTTCCGAGTTGATATGGACGAAGTTCCGGAAGAAGTTGTTGCAGGCATTATGTGAATGGAAATTGTTTCAAAAAATGATCTATGTGATTCGGAAGAGCTTTTACAACATATCCTTTATCAGAAGATGTATGAAATCGAGTTGTATATCCTAACTTTTGAACTTTTTCTGTACTCTGATTTTTAAATCTGTCACTTTTCCATCCGAAATGTTCAGGAAACGATGGAACCTAAGGTTTGTATATTCACTCAGTCGATCACTCTGCAACGGAAGTATCTCTGTGCCTTTCTAACCATTAAATCCCATCCCTGAATCTCAAGACATGCACAGAGAGTTGTCTATCCATACAGTCTATTGTAAAAAG